AGGGGCGGCAGGGTGAGGCCGGGCGCAGGGGTGGGGCCCCTTGGGGGCTGTCGGTGCCCGAGGTGGAACCCAGGTGGCCCGTGGGACCCGAGGACGGGGGCCTGGGTAGAACCGGGACTGCCCGGCGCCTGGCCTTGGCACTCAAGGTGTCGTGGTGACTGTTCATGACGAGAGGACAGGCGAGGGCGGCTCCTAGGTTTCTGCTGAGCCCGTGGGCCGCTGGCACCGTTACCAACGTGGGGGACACAAAATAGGAACGGGGGGGGGCAGTTTTAAGGAGGCAGCTGAGTGGAGAGGACGTCAGCAGGGCCCTTGGTGTGCAGACCTGCAGAGTCCGGGCGAGAGGAGCTGGCCTCGGGGACGCTGGTACGAGTGGGTGCTGAGGCCGTGGAAGTGGATGGGATTGTTTAAGGAGCATCTCTAGGGACCGTAGACTGGGAGCTTGTAGGTTTTGATATCATCATCATCATTCACACGTGTGTGTTTTTAAATGGAAGAAACTGTACATACAAATAGGCTCCCCCCTCCCCCCAAAAAAGCCCTTTTCCAGCATATAAGGCTACTTCCCTGTATAACAATTGGATTAGGCCGAGTGGAGACGACCCCCTACTCGGGGCAGGGCCACCCGTGGGCCACAGCCCCCTGCCTTCCTCCGTCTCAGACCCAGGTTATCTGTCTCTTCCTAAAGCAGTGAGTTTTGAACTCTCAGTGTTAGGGTCGGAATAGAAGAGGGCATAGGGCTGTGTCCCTGAGAAGTACCAGTGTGTGGGTTGCCGAGGGCAGGGAGCACCTGAAAGGGGGGTAGGGCGGCGGAAGTAGGAGGAAAACCAGAGTGTGACAGCAAGGAGGTCAGTGTTTCAAAAGGGTATGATCAGCAATGCCAAGTGTCTCCAAGAGGCCGAGCTACCTGACGCTTAGGCATGATCTTTCTTTTAAAATTTTTTAAAATATGCCTTTATTGATTCCAGAGAGAGGAAGTGAGAGGGGGAGAGAGAGAGAGAAACATCAATGATGAGAGAGTCATTAATCGAGCCCGCAACCCGGGCATGTGCCCTGACCGGGAATCGAACCCCGATCGCCTGGATCCCAGGTCGAGGCTCAACCGCTCAGCAACGCCTGGCCGGGCTAGGCGTGATCCTTTAGATTGAGCATCACGGATGCTTTTGGTAGAAGACCTTAGTAAGAACTGTTTTAATTAAGTTCTGCAGGGGTCAGGGGAGAATTCTATATCCAAGTAGGTTAAGCAACAATT